AAAACGGATAAAATCCAAAAAGTCTAAACAAGAACACAACCATGGGAGACCCACTTAAGAAAGTGGTATAGAGATACAAATAAAATACAATGACTAAGGCGGGGATGCAACCACCGAGACCTTACCCGAATACCTCACAACTCAAGACCTAAACAAAAACTGTAGAACCAAACTAGAAGAAAAGCAACCAAAAGAAACAAACACAACTTGCCACTAGAAGTCTAAACTGAAACAAAACAGCCAAAAGAAAATAGATCCTAATGAAGTACATTAGCTCACTCCTGCCATTCTCTCCAAGCCCCTTTAGCTATGACTTCCTCCAGCATCCAAGTCTTCTCAAACAGCCACAAATTCTGAGAACGCCAAAGCCACCACAATATGTAAGTAGAAAGCTGAATTCTCTTTCCGGCCACCTCGGATTTGTCCACTGAACACACATGGTTCCACCACAACCAGTGGAGTCAATTTCTAGACTCTCCTAGCTCTGCTACAATTAATTAGCAAGTTTTCTATTGTTTCCAAATCCTCACCATACATCCTGCACATGCAGTCAACCTCCATGCCCCTCTCAGTCCAACAGGCAAAACATCATTTTAACATTTCCACAAAAAATGTTTTACCTTGCCTTTCACCTTCAGTTTCCAAGTCCTGCTTCTGACTATAAGCATCATTCCAGCATCTCTACTACTCTCAGCCTCTATAATTTGCAGAGTTTTGATTTTCATCAACTGAGAGTAAGCATTAGCCACTGAAAACTGCCCCTTAGTATCATAAGACCATTTCAAGACATCTGGTATAGTGGGATCTAAAGAAGTGATCTTCTGAATTGCAGTTCTGTCACTATCAAAAAATAGCTCCCTTAGGATTTTATCATTCCAATCCTTCTTAGTGTCATCAATCAGATCACTGAGATCAAATTCCTGGAAAATTGGCAGATGAATTAAGAGTGGGACACTTATGTTTTAGACTAGGCACCCAGCTATGATCAAGAATTTTGGTTTGTCTGCCATCATGAACTTCTCTGGATAAACCACTAGCAAATAAAGGAATCATGTCAACCCAGCTATTCCACATCCAAGATCCTGATTGGCCTTTTTTCACATCAAAAATAGAAGAGGAGGGAAAATATCTGCTTTTGATGACTTTACTCATTAACAGCTCAGGCATAGTAGTGACTCTCTAGAGTTGCTTGATCAGCATTGCTTCATTGAAGAATTTATAGTCTTCAAAGCCCAATCCTCCATTAGCTGTAGGAATAGTGATGTTGCTCCACTTCTTCCAGTGCAGGCCTTTTTCTTGTCCTTTTCCTTTACTCCACCAAAAACCAGCAGTAATCCTACTGAGTTCATCACAAATACCCAAGGGTAGCTTGAAACATGACATTGAGAATACTTGTAAGGCATTGATGACATCTTTTATAAGGACTTCTTTTCCTGCTGTAGAAAGATATCTGCTCCAACTAGATAGTCTGCTTCTAACTGCTTGAACAACATAGTCAAATGTCTCCTTCTTAGACTTCCTTATGCCCAAGGGAATTCCTAAGTATTTTGTGGAGTTGTGTGCTTGAATTCCAGTAAGCAGTGAGCAAATTCTACCCTTTAACTGTTCAGAGGTATTTCTACTAAAAAACACGGTGGACTTAGCAAGATTAACTTTTTGCCCTGAGAAACTCTAATAAATAGACAACAATTTCAATAAATTTCTCACTTGCTCAATTTTAGCCTTGCAGAAGACAATTGAATCATCTGCAAATAGCAAATGAGTCAGATTTGGCCCCTCTCTTGCAATTCTTAAACCTTTGAACCTGCCATTGTCAGCTGCTCCTTTTAGTAGAGAGGAGAAAACTTCAGAAACAATAAGAAAAAGATAAGAAGATATTGGGTCTCCTTGTCTAATTCCCCTCGAAGGATTGACATAACCTGCTGTTTTGCCATTCACTAAAAAAGAGAATGTAGGAGAGGAGACACAGATCATCACCCATTTCACAAATTCCTTGTCAAAACCCATTTTCACCATTGTACTACAAATACACCCCCACTCCACCCTATTATATGCTTTGAGCATATCCAGCTTCAAAGCCATAAAGCAGTTACCCCCAGACCTGTGTCTATTGAGGAAATGAAAACATTCTTGAGCAATTATCACATTGTCACTAATTGTCTAACTGGAATGAATGCAGCTTGTGATTGACTAATACAGACATCCAAACAAGTTCTCATTCTTTCAGCCAAAATTTTTGTAATTATTTTGTCTATTGAGAAAGATCTATATATATATATATATATATATATATATATATATATTTTATCTGTGGAGGAATGAATTGAAATACATTAAGGCAATAATATAAAACAATTAGCATGGACCACCACGGCCGATTGCCTCCTAGTATTAAAGATTTGTAAAGTTGGTTCACAATGTTTGTATTGTGACAAGGAATTCAAACGGAAGTTGTAAATAAACATTTTTATATATTGGGTGTTAATTAATTAGACTGGTAGGACTAAATAGCACTAAAATCATTTTGAAAACTATCATATTGGTTGTTTATATATATTTCTAGGCATTGAATGTTTAATAATGTAATGCAATAATAGCTTCAATGCAGTTTATTATTTTAATTGTAGGGAACTAAAATTGTGCATAATTGTATGACATATGATAGAGGTTGACATAATATGATGTGGTAGTAAATGAATTTGAAACTTTCTACAACATATCATGTGAAGCTTACGAAATGTCTACTAATTAATTTGAAGACATTATATTTCAAAAAAAAATAAAAAATGTATGAACTAAATATTTTTGTTGGAAATAATTGACTAATATCAACTAATTACTAGTAATATATTATTGTTGTTGTATTAACTCCCTCCAAATAACTGGGAATTGTTGAAGCGACTGTTATCGAGACCAATATGATTAAGGAAGTCAACAAAACAATCAAGAGAGAAGTTGATTTGGAGAATGACTCACTGCATGGTCCCATGCAAGCTGTAAACAACACAAAGGAGGAGTGTTCTTTGTCTTGTAGTCAAGCAAGGGCTAGAAAGAGAGCATGTTGTATTTCAGCACGTGAGAAGTAGCTTATATAAGGTAATGTCAGTGCAGTAGCCTCAATTAATGAAAGATAGACATTTTTAGATCAATGACAGGTTTTTTTATCATTGTCATTTCTTGTTCTCTATTTTTCATGAAAGTCATGAGATGCTTTTAACTGTGACATATGACAAAGACAGCCTATATCTATCTATCTTTGATTTCAACTTGTAGAGTAATTTATCTTTTTAAACATTGGATCAATAAATAATCAATCCAACAATTAAAAAAAAAATCTTCAGTCACCAATTGGTCGACTGCTCGTATATACGGTGGTCTATGCTGCAATTTGCTTGTTGGTCTATGCTGCAATTTGCTTGTTCATAAACACATGATGAGTCCAAAACAGGCCAATCTCTAACTTCAAAAAACTCTAAGTGCACAAATCTGTTTGTCGTTTTCTTCATTAAGTAAATATCATCTAACAAAGGCAAAATTTTAAAATTGGTCCTATAACTTGGCCACTGTCCAAAAAACCACCCCGATATTGACCACTTTCAATTTAGGTCCTATAATTTGTCGATTTCATCAATTTTGGTCCTTTTTATCCGCACCCTGGATTAAAAAGTGACGTGACATGACATGTCAGTTTTTTAATGTTACATGGCGTGATTATGATCTACGTGGCACGTCAATTTTGGTCCTATAATTTGTCGATTTCATAAGTTTTGGTCCTTTTTTCATGCCACGTCACTTTTTAATCCAGGGTGCGGATAAAAAAGGACAAAAATTGATGAAATCGACAATTATAGGACCTAAGGGTAAATTACGCCAAACCCCCCTGTGTTATACGAAATAGGCGCGCTTCTACCCTGTGTTTTAAAAAATGCATGACACCCCCTTGTATTTAAGTAGTTGTTGCACGATTCACCAATTCCGTCCAACTTAACAGTGCGTGTACAACACCTTCTATACCTGCGCAAGTTTTACATTTTTTGGTGCGTGCACAACACCTTCTATACCTGCGCAAGTTTTACATTTTTTTTAATTTTAAATAATTAATAAATTACCTTTATACCCTCATGTGCTTTATTGAACAAACTAAAATTTTTGCCAATTGTAGGAATCGAACCTGGGTCTCAAGAAGGTAAGCTTGCCCACTAAACCAATGGGTCATATAGATTCTTGTGTAAGAATTGTACACAACTACATTTATTATATCAACTCTAAACGAATTAATAAAGTAAAATAAAAATATAATAGGTAAATTTAAAACAAATTAAATACTAATAATAATAATAATAACAACAACAACAACAATAATAATAATAATAATAATTATAATAATAATAATAATAATAATAATAAGAGTTTGAGAATAAAAATAATGTAAAAAATACAGTATGATAGAACTTAATATAGTAGCATGAATTGAAATTAAATAAATTATATATTTCTATTATAAAATTAAAATTAATATAAATTTGGAAATATATAATAATAAAAAAAATTAGATTTAAAAATAAAAACAATAAATTAATATAGTAGGTACATTTAATATATATTAAATAATCATAACAATAATAATAATAATAATATAATAATAATAATAACACGAAATAAATTAAATTAATATAAAAATAATGAAAAATAAATTATAATAAAGTAAGATAAAAGTAATTATAGTAGCAGGAATTAAAATTAAATAAATTAACAATTTTATTTATTAAAATAAAATTAATAATATAAATTGTAAATGTATAATAATAATAATATTAAATTAGAAAATGAATAAAATTAAAGTAAACTAGTTAAAATAACATAAAAAATATAATATAAAATAATAAAATATAAAAATATTAATGTAAAATAAATTAACTTATTATAAAATAGTAAATTAAAATAAATAAAAATATTAAATTAACATAGTAAAATAAAAATATTATTTATCTAATAACTAAATGATTTTAAATAGAAATAATTTTTAGTACAATTTACTAAATGATTTTTAGTAAATGTTTATTATATTAGTTTTCTAATTATAGACGACGTAAAATACTGACGTGGAAAGATTATATAATTTTTTATTACTTTCTTAATTTTATATTAGTAGTTAATGAGTTAGATGTAAAAGACGTAAAGTTTTTATAAATGATCGAATAACTTTTTAAATTATTAGATTTAGTCATTATTTTCATTCTTAGATAAACTACTACTATAAAAAAAATGTTATATCCCAATTGAAAATCCTACGGTAATATATTTCAATGGAAATTTCAACGAATATTCCAATTGAATTGTTTCCGTTGGATGATTCCAACGGGATTTTCAACGAAAATATTCCATTGGAATAAGTTTTCCATTAAAATATTAGATGGAATTTGATGATTCAACCGACTATTTTTTCAGCGCTTTTTTAGTGTAGGAATTTTCGTTGGAATATGTAATATCCGTTGGAATTTTTATTTACAGATCTCATTTACTTTAATTCAATATTCATCCACACACATAAATTTTAACTAACCATCACTTCATATCATCTCTCTCTTTCACATCAAATCAACTGTAACTATTTTAGTATAAATATAATTTTAATATAAATTAAAAATCTCACTAACAACTAATCATATCACTTTTTTTTTTCAAATTAACTCTTGTTATAAAAAAAAAAGAGACTATTTTCAGTGGATTTATTTGTAAACAAACACACTTATGATCATGTTATGTAAAGACTATCATGTCATGTTGGATTATTGTAATGTCATCTAATTTAACGATCAAAATAATAAGTATTGCTTCATTTGTGATTTAAAGACCAGATGGACTAAATATAATGATATAATAAATTAGTGGATCATTTATAAGAGTTTATATTATGAGAATAAATGTATTAACTAATAATTTA